TTTGCACTATTTTTTAATTAAATATCAAAGTTATAATACAAAATAATGATATATATTTATTTACCAAGTATTTTATTAATACCATAAAAATAAAAATATAATTAAAAAGACAATCATATTAACTACTTGAGGGATTTGTTGACAAAGAGAGTATTCAAATCAGACAACAAATTGAAGTGAGAACTACATCGCAATGTCCTTGTTTGACAATCAGCCATTATCGATTAGCGTTAGAGGGTTTGACCAGCGAATTATATCAACAGTTGGTAAAGAAAAATTTGAAAAAATTTAGTTGTTTAGATTAACATGTAAAATGAACTAAGGGTATACATAATAATAATAATAATAATAATAATAATAATAATAATAATAATAATAATAATAATAACAATAATAATAATAATAATAATAATAATAATAATAATAATAATAATTGTTTTAAAAAATAAAAATAAAATAAAAAATATAATTAAGTCAATCATATTAACTACTTGGGAGATTTATTGATAAAAAGAGTATTCAAATCACACAACAAATTGAAGTCGGAAACTACCTCGCAATGTCATTGTTTGGCAATCAGTAGTTAGCCCTTCAATATTAGTATATATTTAATATTTTATGCCCCAATTTTTATTTGCTCTCCCTTATGTCCCGTTTTTTGTTTCAACCATATCTATACAATTATTTTATTGACAATTATAATCAACCTTGACTATATTATCTTATATTTGTAAACTTAGAATTACCTATTTAAATATGGAAATTCAACATTCAATTATCTATGCATGAACAATTCCAATATAATCTTGCCTTGATATACTTTAAAGTACTTATTTTAAAAAAAATATTGGGCATTATCCCAATCGCGCAATGCGCGTAAAAAACTAGTATACAAATAAGAGCCCAAGAGAGTTAGGTCTATAATGTGTAGAAAAAATGGCGGTCAAGTTTTTTAATCAAATGAATGGCTCAGATTGATCAGATTTTAATTTTTTCTTAAGATTTACTAATTTATCCTTAATGAATATGATTATCCGTTAACTTTTCCGTTAAATATTATCTTTTCCGTTAATTTCTGTTAGTTCACCGTTAACTTATTCATTGATTTCAATAAGAAAGGTCTTAAGTTCGAAGTTCGAACCTCATCCCAATCAAAGTTGACATATTTAGTACTCTATTTTACTTTTATTAAATTAAATAATAATTTAGTAGTTACAACAAAAAATAATACATATGCATTTCGATCTTTAATATAGAATTATGTATCTACAATGTTTTTATTCAAAAAATTATTCATTATCAATAAATTAAATAAGAGAAATAATTTTATTAGTTATATTGTCTTTATTTTTCTCCAATATAAAAATTCTTTACATTCAAATTCATCAATTGATTATATTCTCTACATTATCCCTACAATGTCTTTATTAAAAAAAATATTCATTATCAATAAATTAATTAAGAGAAATAATTTTATTATATTATATTGTATTTATTTTTCTCCAATGTAAAAATTCTTTACATTCAAATTCATCAATTGATTATATTCACTACATTGTCTATTATCTTTTTTGTGCACTATTTTTTTTAATTAAATATCAAAGTTATAATACAAAATAATGTTATATATTTATTTACCAAGTATTTTATTAATACCATGAAAAAATTAAGAAAAACATAATTAATAAAGCCAATCATATTAACTACTTGAGGAATTTGTTGATAAAGAGAGTATTCAAATCACACAACAAATTGAAGTAAGAACTATCTCGTAATGTCCTTGTTTGACAATCAGTAATTAGCGGTTAGCGTTAGCAGATTATATTAGCTGATTTGACGAGCGAATTATATCAACGGTTGGTAAAAAGATATTTGAAAAAATTAGCTTTTTAGATTAACATGTAAAATGACCTAAGGGTATAATAATAATAATAATAATAATAATAATAATAATAATTGTTTTAAAAAATAAAAAAATATAAAAAAAATATAATTAAGCCAATCATATTAACTACTTGAGGGATTTATTTACAAAAAGAGTATTCAAATTACACAACCAATTGAAGTGGAAAAACTACCTCGCAATGTCCTTGTTTGACAATCAATAATTAGTTCTTCAATATTAGTATATATTTAAAATTTTATGCCCTAATTTTTATTTGCTCTCCCTTATGTCCCATATTTGGTTTCAACCATACCTATACAATTATTTTATTGACAATTATAATCAATCTTGACTATCTTATCTTGCATTTGTAAATTTAGAATTACCTATTTAAATACGCAAATTCAACATTCAATTATTTATGAATGAACAATTCTAATATAATCCTACCTTAATATACTTTAAAGTACTTTTTAAAAAAAACATTGGGCATTACCCAATCGCGCAATACGCGTAAAAATCTAGGCATACTAATAAATTACCAAATACTTCGCGATAAATAATTTCTTATAATAAAATTATAACACATCTAAATTAGTACACATGAAAATTTTAAGTTTATGTGAACTACAATTAATATATATACAATTTAAACAGTTTAATAACATTTTTGTTATTTTATTAATAATATTAATTTTTGATATATATATATATATATATATATATATATATATATATATATATATATATATATATATATATATATATATATATATATACTAGTTTTTTACGCGCATTGCGCGATTGAAATAATGTCCATTGTTTTTTTTTTATTATATATAAATAAGTACTTTAAAGTATATTAAGGCAAGATTATATCGAAATTGTTCATGCATAAATAATTGAATATTGAATTTACGTATTTAAATAGGTAATTTTAAATTTACAAATGCAAGATAATATAGTCAAGATTGATTATAATTGTCAATAAAATAATTGTATATGTATGGTTGAAACAAAATACAGGACATAAAGGAGAACAAATAAAAATTAGAGCATAAAATATTAAATATATACTAATATTGAAAAGCTAACTGCTGATTGCCAAACAAGGACATTGCAAGGTAGTTTCCTAATTCAATTTATTGTGTGATTTGAATGTTTTTTTTTTAAATTGAAATCAATGAGTAAGTTAATGGTAAACTAACAGAAATTAATGAAAAAGATAATATTTAACAGAAAAGTTAACAAATAATCATATTTATTAAGGATAAATTAGTAAATCTTAAGAAAAAATTAAAATTGATCAATCGCCATTCATTTGATTAAAAAATTTGACCATCATTTTTCTACCCATTATAAGCCTAACTCTCTTGAGTATAGTAGATAGATAGTATATATATATATATACTAGTTTTTTACGCGCATTGCGCGATTGGGATAATGCCCAATGTTTTTTTTTTTTAAATAAGTACTTAGTATATTAAGGCAGGATTATATTGAAATTGTTCATGCATAGATAATTGAAGGTTGAATTTGCGTATTTAAATAGGTAATTCTTCTCCCAGAGGTTGAGTCTCCAACCCCAAGGCTCCCCCACACTCCGACTCGACAGAGCATTGTGGACAAGGAATCTGCCCACTTTGGACATAATTCCCGCACTGCCGCCGCCGAGGTTCAAAACCATTGAGCTAAGCCGGTGCGGGTTAAATAGGTAATTCTAAGTTTACAAATGCAAGATAATATAGTCAAGATTGATTATAATTGTCAATAAAATAATTGTATAGGTATGGTTGAAACCAAATACGGGATATAAGGGAGAACAAATAAAAATTAGGGCATAAAATATTAAATATATACTAATATTGTTTGAGGAGATTCCGACATTAGGATTTGTGGTTACGTTCTATTAAGACTTTAATATTAGAATTAGATTAATGGTGTAGTTATAATTCTATATTAGACTTTAATATTAGAATTAGACTAACGGTGAATTAACGGAAAAATTAAATGGATAATCATATAATTAAGGATAAATTATAAAATTATAAAATCTTAAAAGAAAAAAGTTAAAACCTGAACAATATGAACCATTCATTTGATTTAATAATTTGGCAGTCATTTTTTCTACCCAATGTTAATAATTAAATAAATTCGTTGGTCAAATCCGCTAGTATAATCCGCTAACGCTAACTCCTAACTGCTGATTGTCAAACAAGGACATTGCGAGGTAGTTCTCACTTCAATTTGTTGTGTGATTTGAATACTTGGTAAATAAATATATAGCATTATTTTGTATTATAATTTTGATATTTAATTAGAAAAATAGTGCAGAAAAAAGATAATAGATAATATAGTGAATATAATCAATTGATGAATTTGAATGTAAAAATTTTTACATTTGAGAAAAATAAAGACAATATAACTAATGAAAATATTTCTTTTAATTAATTTATTGATAATTAATAATTTTTTTTTCACTGAATAAAGACATTGTAAGGATAATATAGCGAATATAATCAATTAGTAAATTTGAATATAAAAAATTTTTATATTGAAGAAAAATAAAGACAATATAACTAATAAAATTATTTCTCTTAGTTAATTTATTGATAATGATTTTTTTTTAATAAAGGCATTGTGGACACATAATTATAAATTAAAGAAATGCATATGTATTATTTTTTGTTGTAACTACTAAATTATTATTTATATATAATTTAATAATAGTAAAATAGAGTACTAATTATGCCAACTTTGATTGGGATGAGATTCGAACCTAAGACCTTTTTCTATTGAAATCAATGAGTAAGTTAACGGTGAATTAACGACAATTCTTAAAATTTTAACGGAATTAGTAACGGTGTGTGGGTATTTTAGGAAATTTTAGTGTAAAATTTAAATCTGATCAATCTTTCAATCAATCTGAGCCATTCATTTGATTAAAATCTGAAGCCATTTTTTCTACCCATTATAGGCCTACCTCTCTTAGGCTCTTATATTAGTATATATATATATATATATATATATATATATATATATATATATATATATATATATATATATATATATATATATATTGTAAGTCAACTGTTAGCCCATTCATTCTTCCTAGTCCAAATTCCCTAAGCCTCGCCCACTCGCCGGAGGTTGGAGTCACCGTAGTTGTCTTCTCAGTTCTCAGGCGACGCCTCGCCAATTGGCTTCTGGTTCTTAGGCCTCGCCTCGCAGGTCGTCTTCTCTGTTCTCAGCCCTCGCCGGAGCCCAAAGTCGCCTCCTCTTCGTCTGACACTGTGATTCACGCCCTTAAATCGCTGCCCTTCTTCGTTGGTCGTTACTCATCTTCGTCAAAGGTAAGTTGCATATATCATACTAATTTGATAATTTCTAATTTTCTATTTTAGTATTTGTTCACTTCGATTTATAATTAAAAAAAAAACACGAATTTTAATTTTATAAAAAAATTGCAAACTTGACTGCTTGCTGTGTGTTTGTCCAGAGTCCAGGCTCCAAAATAAATTACTTTAACTGAGTGTGGATTTTGCTTTTGGGGAGTTACAGACTTACAGATGATAACAAACAGTTCAGATAAAATTTATTCTAAATTGCTCATTTTGGTGTTTCTTTTCATTCCTATATTCTTACTTTTTGTGTTGGTTCAAAATCGTAAGGTTGCCATCCCTTGTAATTTATTTAATCGTAAGGTTAGTTTTATATTCCAAGTCGTATTGCAACTCTGTTATTATGCATTTGTACTATGGACTATATGTAGTATTGTAAGTTTATTTACATTTTAGTGTGAATTTGAAGACATTAAAGTACGGTAAATCTGTAGACTGTAATATTACATTATTACAATTTTTCTTAGGGATGCTCGGTTATTCGGTTATAAGTGTATGATCGGTCGGTTAGGGAGAGTAGAAAAATGCCATCGGTTATTCGGTTATCGGTCGGTTATTAACCGTAACCGAACGATGCTCACCCCTAATTATCGGCCCTAGATTGTTGTAGATCTATGGTTTTTTCTTTCTTCTCTTTACCTACAAATGTTTGTATCTGTGGTTTTATTTTTTATTTGAATAATTGCATATTCAACAGCTAAATACATGCGTTTGAAGAAAGATAAGTATTTTGTGTATGGTGGTTTTTGTCTACTGATAATAAAAAAATAGAAGTAAAAATGAATTATATATGTTGTCAGACTGATATTTTCGCTTACTTCCTATAACACACAATCTGGTCAATTTCTTCATCTCTTTAACTGTCGAAGTATAGGACAATTTTAGCTGGTGAATGATACTATTTGATTAGAAATATTTGAGTGGCTGTTCCTTTTATAGCTACGCTTTGAGAATAGCAATTCTTAATTAGTTGTTGTTATAGGTAATTTATCATGGGAATTCCAACAGGTTTATGAGTTTATCATTATTTATGATAGCACACAATACTTAATAGCTTAATTAGATTGTGCTGTTTACTGTCATTTTTAGGCAGAAATTGGAAGTTGTTATGTTTTGTGATTTAATTTTTAAGCCTTTTTGTATAGTTTTATTGAAATTATAGTTCCTGTTATCTAATAAAAATAAAAACTGTATCCAAGTAACATAAATTTATGCATACAGATAATATAGTTAATCTGGAAGAGTGTATATATATGTCTCAAGAAAGAAGGAGATGATCTGCTTTATTCAACTATGATGCTTTATTGTCTGTCATCATAATGATAAATTGTGTTACTTAAAATCATTTGATAGTATTTCAAAACAAAAAAAATCATTTGAACATTATATTTCCAGGGACCAATGCTGTGATGTTAAATTCGTATGGCTTAACAGAAGATAAAAAGGATGATCAACTGCTTTGGGACCTTCAAATATCAAGTAAGTGTTGCTATACATTATTTATGAAATAACATTAATTATTGTTTGAATACCTATGACATTTGAAAACCAATAATTGTTATGGACTATTAGTTTAAGTTACACTGTTTGTGTCATGTTAAGTTTTCCTAAATACAAACTATACTTGATGATTTATAGAATTATTTTGAAAATAACCTCTTGAAAGCTTCACACTGCTGCTTGTCTTCTACCTGTCAATAATTTCCAACACAACAAAAAATTATAAAAACAGTTTTAATTCTTTATTGTTTATTTATGGAAAATATACTACCCTTTTTCTACCAAGTATATGGCAAATGATGAAACATAATTCCGATGCCCCATTTTTCACAAATCTTGATTTAATAGCAGTTCTGTTATTTGTTACATAGCTGGTTGAAACATCACTATTTACCAAATTACTTGGTTACTCTGTCTTATGTAATCTATCTTATTTAATCTATAATCTGTTTTTTTTTACTGTATTCATGGTTTTTAGAACTATAGAATCTAACCTGCTTCTTTTTCAATAGATCAGTTACTGTAGTTACAGTCAAAGCACCACTCGTAAAGTCATTAATTCCTGTGGATTGAGACAGCACTGTTGCAGTACTGATACTGCGTAAAGGACTTTTTACAGCAGTTAACCTAAAGTCCTAAAGGTAAAATTTATACACATTTGTATTTTTTTACATCATTGTTTTGCATGTTCAAACGAATGAAGGTTCCCTGCACATAAGATTAGTGAAATAAATAAAACATTAGCATAAGGAAAATGAAATACAGTGAGCACAAAAAATGAAATGCTGTGTAGAGCAAAAATGTGTGTAGATCATAAATATCTGTAGAACCTCTATTTGGTAGTGCATAAATCTGTGTAAACAATCTAATTTCAGGAGAATGAATACATTAAACAATGACATAAAATACCACTTCATCGCAGACCAAAAGTTCTCTACTCTTTATCTGTGTAGAGCCTCTGCTTTCAGCTGTTTCATAACATCTCACACACCTTACTCTTATTGCTCTCTCCTAAATTCCTAATAAATATAGGAGAATCGATTTTCTAAATCTTTTGCAGTTTCTCTCGAGGGCTCATCGATCTTCTTCCTGAATACACTATAGATTCAATCGTCGTCGTCTCTGCTAATCATGGCTACCGCTTCAGGTTTTCTTTCTCGCCTTTTTCGTTCTTTTGTATGTATGCGTGTTCCTTATCACCTTATCAATTTGGTACCTCGATGCCAGTAGACCTGTTTGTGGACCGTGTTCTTAGTTGATTGTTCGGAAGCTCTTTACTTTAGGTTTACTTCAATTTTTTGATATACGCATAAATATCTAGAGTTAGATTTCAGTTTCAATCGTTTGGTGAATCCCGTTCGTTTTTTCCAGCTTATTTAGCTTCTGCGATTAGTAGGATTTAAAAACAAAATACTACTATTGTTTATTAATTAATTACTCCAAAGTAACTTGTTAAATTGTGTAAACGTTATTTCCAAATTAATTTTTTGTAGCTTATTTAGCATATGTGACTAGGAGGGTTATTATTATTAAACTACATACTATTGTTGTTGAATTACTCCGAAATAACTTGTTAAATTCTGGGAACGGTTTTTTCCAGGTTATGTTTTTGTAGTTTATTTAGCTTCTGTGATTAGCGCAAAAAAGTTCATTATTATTATTATTGTTGTTGTTGTTTTTGAATTTACTCTGAAATAACATGTTAAATTGTGGGAAACGCAGTTGCATTCAAATCAAGAGAAGACCATAGGAAACAGTTGGAATTGGAAGAGGCAAGAAAGGCTGGGCTTGCACCAGCTGAGCTTGATGAGGATGGAAAAGAAATTAACCCTCACATTCCACAGTATATGTCCTCAGCACCTTGGTATCTCAATGCCGAGAAACCTGTATGTTTTCTTATCTTATGCTGTTTGTAATTTGACTTTGGACTTTTTTTTTTTTCTTTCTTTGTGATATATGCATTACTTGTTATGGATGAATTATAACTTGCATACCTTTGACTTGAATGTTTTTTAGAGCTTAAAACATCAAAGGAAATGGAAGTCAGATCCTAATTATACAAAGTCATGGTACGACAGGGGTGCCAAGATATACCAGGCTGACAAATATAGAAAAGGTGCCTGTGAGAAGTAAGTCAGGCAGCAAATTCTTTTGTTTTATTATTTCTTTTTATTTCCAAAATTGTGTTAAGCAGTGAGAACCTAGTATAATTCCCTGTTGGTTTTGTGAGGAGTTTTAACGTGTTGTACTTCCACTCTTCTTTTGTTAATGCTTTCACTAAAATTTTGAAATACTTTCTGCAGCTGTGGAGCAATGACCCATACTGCCAAATCTTGTATGGAAAGGCCTCGTAAACTAGGAGCAAAGTGGACAGGGAAAAGTATTGCCCCAGATGAGAAAGTAGAGCAGTTTGAGCTAGATTATGATGGTAAAAGGGACCGCTGGAATGGTTATGATGCTGCTTCTTATGTCCATGTTGTTGATAGATATGAAGCCAGGGATGAAGCTAGAAGGAAATATCTGAAGGAACAGCAGCTTAAGAAGTTGGAGGAGAAGAACAATAATGAAAATCAGGAAGGTGATGCTAGCGATGATGAAGATTTGGAAGATGCTTTGAAGGTAGATGAAACGAAGGTTGATGAAAGTAAGCAGATGGATTTTGCAAAGGTCGAGAAGCGTGTGCGCACTACAGGAGGTGGTAGCACTGGGACTGTCAGGTGAGTTATATATATATATATATATCTATATCTACTATCCCCTGACATGCATATTCTTAAAAATGCTTAACATCTCAACGCTCTTAATGTTTTTCTCTTTTCAGGAATCTACGTATTCGAGAAGATACTGCCAAATATCTTCTTAATCTTGATGTCAATTCTGCCCACTATGACCCCAAAACCCGGTCCATGCGTGAAGACCCCCTTCCAGATATGGATCCAAATGAGAAGTTCTATGCTGTAAGTTTTGTTTTAATAGTGTTATTTAAAAAAATTAGTAATTTGCTTATATTCAATGATTGATCTGTGGTTTGGTTGTGTTATAGGGGGATAACCAAAATAGATTAAGTGGTCAAGCACTGGAGTTCAAGCAGCTCAATATCCATGCTTGGGAATCTTTTGAGAAGGGCCATGACATCCATATGCAAGCAGCTCCCTCCCAAGCTGAATTGCTTTATAAAAATTATAAAGTCAGTAAAGAGAAATTGAAGGGCCAGACCAAGGACACCATCATGGATAAATATGGCAATGCAGCTAGTGAGGAACCACTTCCTAGAGAACTTTTACTGGGCCAAAGTGAGAAAGAAGTTGAATATGATCGAACTGGCAGGATTGTGAAGGGACAGGTAATATTTGAAATAAGAGTTCATGAATATGTATTTGACATTTTTACCTTAACTGCATATATGGAAATTCTTCTGCATAAACAGTACCAACCCCATTGTCTTATATGGGAAGTTGGGATTGAATAGGAATATGTCATTGCAGCATTTGTGTTCTGCCTGTTGTTTTCTTGAGTGAATATTCTTATTCGGGTTTAACAAGATCAATACCATTTTGTCTGCAGGAGATGTCACTTCCTAGGAGCAAATATGAAGAGGATGCTTTCGTCAATAATCACACTACTGTTTGGGGTTCCTGGTGGAAGGACCACCAATGGGGTTACAAGTGTTGCAAACAGACCATCCGAAATAGTTATTGCACAGGAACAGCTGGAATTGAAGCAGCTGAAGCTGCAGGTGATCTAATGAAGGCCAATATTGCTCGCAAAGAAGCTACAGAAGGTAAGTTAATATTGCCAGTTCAAAGTATTTTTGCTATGAGCATTTGTTCCAGGTTTTATGTTATTTGTATACATGTGTGTCCATTTATATATCATCTAAATTGATTATGAATTATCCAGATGCCCATACACCAACTGAGCAGAAGAAACTTGCTACATGGGGAACTGATGTACCAGATGATTTGGTTCTGGATGACAAAAAATTGGCTGAAGCACTCAAAAAGGTATGTGCTTTCACAACCATTTCCTGTGCACCGTACACAACCAATAATTTCTCCTTACATGTAGGTTTTTATGAATTCAAAAACATTCTTTGATGCATGTTTTACGTTGTATAACCAGGAGGATGAACGGAGAAGAGAAGTGACAGATGAAAGGAAACGGAAATATAATGTGAAGTATGATAATGAGGTATGCTGCTCTCTTCATTTCATTTCATTTCTTGTATTCATACCCCATCTCCTCATCCTGTTGTAATCTTGACCATTCATGTAATTGTCTTCCAGGTCACACCCGAAGAAATGGAGGCATATAGGATGAAGAAGATCCACCATGATGATCCAATGAAGGATTTTCTGTATTGAGATGCTGATAATAATATGTTATCCTTTAGTTATTTACTCGATGTAATATTGTCAAATTTGAAGTTTAGTAATGTTATCCTTTAGTTATTTACTCAAGCCTGATGTAATATTGTCAAATTTGAAGTTTAGTTCAAACTCTGTATCAGTGTCATAGGTTTGAGACTAAACTGTTGAGAGTTTGCCTTCCCTTTAAATATATCAAAAAGATTACTTGTTTCAATCGAAATAGTGAATGTACATATGGATTCTTGTTCTCATTCTCCATCTTGAATACTAAGAAAATGTTTGAATAAAGGGTTATTATTATTATTATAGAACGAATTATGTAGTCTAACTATGGACAGAAACTATTGAAACTTTTAGTAGAGATAGAAAGTATCGAAATTTTTAGTTGAGATGTAACATGTAAAATAACTATCTATATTTTTAGTTGAGATAGAACATGTATTGTAATTGAAGTATTACAATAAGCAATTATCGTTTCATCTCTGCTCGGAAATTGGATATGAACTCCTCCGCCCTCTCTTGATTCCGTGCATCTCCGGCGAAGCCAGCACGATGACTTCCCACATATCATGAGCCTCACTGGATCCATCGTCAACAAGCTGGGGACCCATTTCTTGGCATCCGGAATCTCTGGATGCTCCTCACGGGCTCCACGAATAGCTGGTCTATATACATCGGCGCCGGTTTCTTATGAAAATCGATCCTTTTCGTCGTCTTGAAAAGAAACTTCTTCCGTTTTGCCTTGCCGGTTAGCTTCGGCCATCGGCCGAAACCACCTTTCTTGATGATAGCCTTGTCGGCGAACGGTGTCTTCCGCTGCTGCTGCTTCTTGATGACTTTGGAGCGGTTGAGGCGGTGCAGCTTGAACGGAATCAGCTTGGTGGGCAAGAGCTTCAACACCTTCATGGTGGTAAACAGTCCCTTCAAATTTATGCAAGACATATTTTCCGGTGATCAGAGATGGAGTGAAATACATGCACCGTATGATATAATAGGATTTGAATTGAATTATCCTTTATATTTAAATCAATATTTAAAAGCACTGTTATTCTGATTTGTAATATTCTGATGTGTAATAATATTTAAAAGTAGTGTTATATTGATATGATAGGATTTGAATTGTAATTATTGCAGTTTAGTTTCTCAATGTATGTTGCTTGGGAAATGAATAGGCTATTTAATTGGACGGCTATTACTTGCATTGGTATTACAAAGTACTAGTGCACCCGTATGGTGCACAACAATATGTAATAATATTATAATATATAGTATAATTGTCAAAAAATA